GCAGCCCCGTGAATGGGAGACTAAAGGTCTACTGCTCTTGGCCTCTGAATTTGGGGGGTTGTTGTGGTCCAAATGGTTTGTGCTTGACTCCTAGTCTAAAGGGTCACCGTTCAAGCTCACCCAGTGGTGCCCCAGAAGAAAGACCTGGCAATCTATTTAGTTAAAGAGTACAGCTCATAAAATCCTATGAAGTGACAAGTGTATGAGCTGAACACTTACATCAGGTAGATACACTCCTTAGAGAGCCATCATGAGAGAATAGAAGGGCTGTGTATGCACAGAGAGACAGCTCAGGGGGCAGGAGTGCATGAGAGGCAAGGACACAGAGAAGAGGTAACTATGAGGAGGAAGTGGGAGGGGTGCTGTTGCATTGTGGGAAATTACAATCAATGTCATGAAACAAAATGTATATGAACTGCTGTATGGAAAACGAATTTGCTCTGTAAACTTTCACCCAAATCACAATAAAAATTTAAAATAAATAAATAAATAATTAATTTTTAAAGAAGGAAAACAATTGTTTTCTATCACACAAGGCATGGCCATGAGTTGGAATCAACTCAACCACAACAGGCATGGTTTGGGGTTTTCATTTTGTTACACAGCATTATCGGGGCAAAGCTGACTATGACAGGAGGCCAGTGCAGGAATCCAGGAAGGAAACTATGCCAGCGTGGACAAGGTTGGGAGTGGTGGCACTGGGAAGATATGTGGGGAGGTTTGGAAGTGAAAAGGGGTTATTAAGAATGGCTCCCACAGTGTTGGTTTGAGGGGCCAGTTGCATTTACTGTGTGATTAAGGCTGGGCAGGTGTGTGGGTTTGAGACACTCCAGAGACATCCAAGCAAAGGACCCTGCTCCATGGCCTCCCTGCTAACTCAGCAGCCTCCTCACTGGACAGTGAGGCTCCTGAGGGCAGGCCTTCACCCAGCCCACCCCTCACACCCTACTGTGCTGGGGAGAAAGGCCAAAGCCCAGCCTAGGGGGTGGCAGTGGGCTAGAGGGCAGATGGAATTAACAGATATTGGGGGGCTGACTTGTTGAGGTTCAGTGGCCAGTGAATGCTGGGGGTGGGGGATGGGAGGAGCTTTAGGCCCTCTGTGTCTGTAATTTGGAAGCAGAAGGATCATCGGGGCTCTGAGACAGAGAGCCCCATGTGAACTGGACTTGCCTCTAGTGCGTCCCTCACCACCAACCCTGGCAATGATTTCATCGCAAGAACCGACCGGTCTGATGCATCCCAGCCCTAACGCCCAGCCCAGGCCTGGCACTAGAAGGGCGCCTGGCCTCACTTGTCGTCCAATGAGTGAGCATCACCGAGTTGTCAGCTCCCGCCCACAACCAACAGGTCTGTCTTCTTCCTGTTTCAAAACAGGTTTGCTCACGGACTTCCCTAGAAGTGTCTCTCCCCTGTCTGAGGGGCCTCCAGATCTCAGCCACTTTGCATGACCCACCCCACATCCAGTGACTGCTGGGCACAATCATGTGGGGTAAAGAGCACTTGGCTGGCAGTCCCACAGGACTGGTATGAATGGTGTCAGCTAACAGTAACGGAAGGCCTAAGAGAGGATGGCATGCACAAATAGGTGGTTTCATTTTTGTTTTGCTTCCATAACAAGGCAGCTTTTGTCATTAGGTTCAGCTGCCAGTCGATGCTGTCAGGGACCCAGGCTCTTTCTATCCTTCTGCTCTTCCATTCTTAGCATGCCGGCTTGTATCGTCATACTTTCAGCCTCAAGGTCACAAGATGGCTGCTGCAGCTCCAGACATCCATCAGCATTCAAGGCAGGAAAGGAGACCAGACAAAGGGTAGTACCAGCTGGGTCTGTCATTTTTTTTTTTTTTTTTATGGAAGGAAAAAAAAAATGCACAGAGCCACCTCTTCGGCTGACATTCACCTGTGTCTCATTGACCTACGCTGTGCAACCTTGGACCCCAACTGCAAAGCAGGCTGGGAAAACTAGTATTTCACCTTGGTCTGGGTACACTGATGCTCTGAGCAAAACTCAAGTTCTGTTAGCAGAGAAGATGGGAGTAATGGTCCAGGGTGGGCCAGCGGAATCTCTGCCTCAGTTTCCTTTTCTGCCAGATGAACTATTAGCACCTACCTTGAAAGGTTATTGTGGGGATTAAGTGAGATAATACATGTGCTTGGTGACACATAACGATGAATGAGAGAATTTATTACTGGAGTTATTACTGATCTAAAAGCAGAGGCTGTCCCCCTGGGGTAGGCTCAGGGGACTGAGCACACACAGAGGTGCCGCCAGCCCACCCGTGACATGCAGAGATGTTTGGGGAAGAGGGCAGAAGAAAGGGTGTCCCAGGAGAGCATGTGCAAAGGCCTTGGGGTGAAAAAAGTGTGAATGTGGGTTTGAGGAAATGAGAGTCCAGTCTGATGGTAGAGGTGTGAATGGAGGAGAGAGGGAGGCTAGAGTGTGGTCAGGCCTGGGGGCCAGGGACATCCTGGAAGAGGGTCTGGAATTTATCCTGACAGTCTGGAAGAGCAGGAGTAGGAAGAGGTTGCCTTCAGGGATGACACCCCAGTGGAATGTTCCAGAGACTCCCGAGGGACCCTGGCAGCCTGGAAGGGCTGCTCAGCTGCTTGAAGACTCCAGACTCACTGGAAGGTGGGGTCCGGCCCACCCATGTCTCTGTTTGTGACATGTGTGGGTTTCAACGCTTTTTGTTTCAGAGGAGAAGTAACTAAGAAAGGTAACACTGAGAAAAGCAAAGGGGTTTCCCCACTGGCCCTTTCAGGGCGGTAAGGTTCCTGGGAGGAGGGTGAGCTGGAGGTCCTGCCTGGGAACTTCAGGACACATGGCGCAGCTGGGCAGTGGGGTGGACAGGGACTCCGGGAGAGCTGGAAATGGAAACCCAGAGAGTTTCGTTTCTGGGAACTAGGGGGCTTCTGTGTTGTCAGCAATGAGGTCGTATATCTTTTTCTCCCTTTATTTTATCTCTCCAGCTAGTCAGCCCCCTGAGAGCAGGGGTTCTTGGGGACCACTGGATCCCCACTCCTGTAACAGTGCTTGCCACAGAGTGTATGCTCCATAAATACATGCTGAATGAACGAATGGAGTTGGGGTTGAGAAAACTCCTTTTCTGGAGGGGTGGGAAGCCTAGAGTTTATCTAGCTGTAAATTAGCAAACACTTAGGTGGTGCGCTGGTTAAAGCACTCAGCTGGTAACTGAAAGGTTGGTAGTTCAGATCCACCAGCCACTCCGCTGTGTGATCATCATTCACCCTTACAACTACCCCATCTTTCTTTTATAGAAACTTGCATTCACTGGGTGCCTGCTGGGATCTATGTTTCCTTACACTGTGGGGGCACTTTTAGGCTGCGGTTTCTGGCTGCCCAACACCCACATTTCCAAATTCCAGCAAAGCTCTCAGCTTCCATCTGGGAACCCACCCCTGCAACCTAGAACACAGGGCTTTTATAGACTTGCATTCACTTTTCCCTCCAGCGTGGCCTGTGGTCCTGGCCTACCCATTCAGAGCACAGAATCCCGTTGGCAAATATAATTGGTTAAAGATAATCTTAAAACCTAAGCTGGTCCAATCAGAGGTTCAGTCAGAGTAAACCTTAATTAGAACATTGCCTGGGGCAAAAACGTTTGCTCCTTTTTCCTGAATTTGAATCTGGAAGGATGAAACCCTGAGAGTCACCTGCCTGACAATGAAACCAGGCAGCAGAAGGACAAGAGATACAGGAAAGTGAGCCCTGGTGAAATCATTTGAGCCCCTTGATCAAGCTGCACCTGAAGTCATTTTCCAAACTTGAATCAATAAATTTATTTTCTCCTTAAGCAGGTTGAACTGGGTTTGCTATTTGCAATAGCAAAAGTCCTGACTGGCAGGATGTGAACATTTGGAGATTCCCACAGATAGATGCAGCTCAGGGTCCTGTGGGTGGAGCAGAAACACTTGAGAGACAGCAGCGGTCAGCTGGACCCAGCCTCCTGATTGGCTGGGCAGCTACCCACTGAGATCTAGAGACAATTGTTTGTTTGATGCTGCTGCCAAAAGGAGAACCAAGACCAGAGGAGCAAACCTCTGAGACACTCATTTTTAGCTCAGTAGAAGGAATAACTCAGATATGCAGAACTGGCAATATTGTAGCAGATTGCCTCAGGAGGGAGTGACAACCCTGTCCCTGAAGGTATGCAAGTGGTGGCCGGCAACCACCTGGCCCCGAGTTTCCAGAGGGGTTCAGGCATTGGGTGGGTGTAGAATAAATGGGTAGATGCTGCCACACGAGGCAGCTAACATGGACTGCAGCAATACAGGGGTGGCATATTGGGTCCGGGGCTCCCCTTCTTTCCCCTGGGAGCATAAGGGGTCGGGACACAGTGGCTGCAAATTCACACCAGCCTCCAGCACAGAGAAGACATCAACCAGGCACTGCAGCCAGTGTGACCAGCCGGGGTACCTCAGGCTTTGGGTGGGGGCCTTGGAGAGTCATCCGGCTGGGAGGGCTCTGGAGCAACCTGGAAGGGAGACAGTCAGGGGTGAGAATTTGGGGACAGGAAGAACCTTCTGCTCACTTGTGGCCTTCCTGGCCCAAGGCTTAGCCCCACCTCCAGGCCTTTCTCCAAGCATCGCCTCCCCCAGGACCGCCCTCTCTGCTCCTCCCCCCATGTCCCTGCCAGGTGCTCTCAGCCTAGTGGCCCACTTCAGGAAGCCTTCTCGGGCTGCCTGCATCCCATCTCTGCCTCTTCTGCCCCAGGAGTCTCCTAGCTCGGTCTCCTGGCTCTCTCTTCCATCCCTTGTACTCCCCATCCTCCCACACAGGGATGGGCAGAGCGGATGCTCAGTGACACCTGCTACATTGGCTCAAGCAAGTGCGCAGCCTTTCCTGGTGCCCTGGGCCTGCCTTCTGGGAAATGGGCTCCTCAGAGTGAGATTGGCTCAGGTAAGTGATCAGAAGGCTAGGGAAACTGAGGCACTTGGATACCTGCCCTATCCTGGCCTAAGTGCCAATCCCAGTGAATCTTACCCCTAAAGGATGCTGCAGCCGCGTTTCTGCTGCCGTGTGGGTTGTGGGCACAGGACAGCCCGGATAGCCTCATCGAAGACGGTTTTCAGGCCCCGCTGGGTGAGGGCTGAGCACTCCAGGTATTTGACAGAGTCTGGGTGAGGCAATAGGAGAGCTGAGGTCAGGGCAGGGGCCCAGGCAGAAACTCCTCCCAAGCCACAAAGGAACACCAGGCTGTGGGGTCACTGGCCAGGTTCCAGTCCTGCTAGTGTCATCTGGGAGCTGGGCCACGCTGAGCAGGGCTTTTCCCTCTCTGTGCCTCTGTCCTCATGTCTGAACTAATCCATTGTCATTGAGTCGATTCCTACTTGAGTTCATCGGGAGAGAGTAAGACCTACCGGGGCTTGGACGTGTTAGCCATTGGTTTATGGGAGACAGGCAGAAATGTTCATACTTTCTTGGGAAGACAGGGGCTCAAGCCACAGTGACCCAACCTCTCAGCACCTCACTTTCTTCTAGAATATACATAAACATGGCTTTATGCTTCCTCCAGGGTACAAATCAGCCTCAGGAGGCCCAAGACACTCATGGCCTACACACCGGAAAAAAAAAAAACACTTCAATCGAGTCAATCCCCATGTGCTATAAAGTGGAAACTACACCATAGGTTTTCTGTATAGACACAGATCACCGCACCTTTCTTTCTCCCATGGTGGCACATATGGGTTTGAACCACTAACCTTTAGTTTAGCAGACAAAAACCAACCATTTGCACCACTTAGGACCCTAACAGCCCACACATCAGGACCTTCCAAATATCAACTCACCAAACATCAGCCTCGTTCCCATTTTGCAAATCAGGAAACTGAGGATCTTGGAGGATAAGTCCAAGGTCACACGCTAGATGTTTCCGCTCCACCCAGGACCATGAGGCCCCTCAGTGAGGGCAGTGGGGATTGGACATCGGCCTTCTCCCCTGGGACCACCCAGGGCAAAGCCTGGGCTACAGGCAGTGAAAGGCAGGCTGACTCTACTCCCAGGGCAGCCAGCACTGGTCCAGTGTTCCATGACGTTCTGGAAGGAACCGAGTGACTTGCCCATGTCCACTACAACTCAAATAGTTTCCTTCAAGGGAAAAACCACAACACCCTTTCTGCATGAGGCCGATTTCAGACACAGAGGAAGGGGAGGGGCGGGGTGCGGAAATCTACATCCTGCCCCCCAAAGCCACTACTCTGGAGAGAAAGGTATTAGACACTGAGCTGTGAAGATACTGTGATTCACCAAGTTACATACAGGTGGGGAAATAGGCCCAGAGAGGGGAAGCCATGGCTCAAAGGCACGCAGCCAGGATTCTGGAGCCAGCATCACAGGCCAGGGAGGGTGGGGAGCCCCTAGAAGGGGGAGGCCCACCGATGCCCTAGGGCAGTGAGGAGCCTGGGGGCAGCATGGGGCAGGGATGGAGCACCCTGAGGCAGCTGGGTGACTCCTTCCATGAACCTCTGAGCTGAGGAGGGTGTTGGGCTGTGGGCCACTTTCTCCCTATAAGGGACTATAAGCTAGTACCCACCTCACTTACACCCACCCACTGCCTCCTCCATGACGCCGCCCCTCCTCACGCCCCTCATGGCTCAGTGATGTCCAGAGAAAGGTCTTGAGCTGGGGGCCTCTGACCCATTCTGAACTTCAGCCAGCCACCCCTCTCTGGGCCTCCATCTCCCATTCTGTCTAGGACACGTTGACATGTGATAGTTGAGACAGGGGACAGGTGGCCACAGAGAGGGTGTGGGGCAGGCTAGGAGCAGCTGACGACCCTGATCCTCCTGACTTAGGGATCCAGGTGGCCCAGGTTCAAATCCTGGCTTGGTGACTTTGAGCCAGTGACTTCCCCCTAAGCTTCAGTTTCCCCATCTGTAAAGTGAGGGTTGGTTCACAATCAGGAAAATGTCATCGGGGTTGTATCTTTCCCCATACTTATTCACTCTGTATGCTGAGCAAATAATCAGAGAAGCTGGACTATATGCAGAGCACGACATCAGGATTAGAGGAAGACTCATTAACAACCTGCGGCATGCAGATGACACAACCTTTCTTGTCGAAAGTGAAGAAGCCTTGAAGAACTTACTGATGAAGATCAAAGACTACAGCCTTCGTAATAGATTACACTTCAACATAAAGAAAACAAAATTCCTCACAATTAGATCAGTAAACCACATCACAATAAATAGAGAAAAGATTGAAGTTATCAGAGATTTCATTTTACTTGGATCCACAATCTACACCCACCGTAGCAGCAGTCAAGAAATCAGACATCACATTGCACTGGGCAAATCTGCTGCAAAAGACCTCTTTAAAGTATTAAGAAGCAAAGATGTCACTTTAAAGACTAAGGTGTCCCTAATCCAAGCCATGGTATTTTCCATCACCTTACATGCATATGAGGAACTCTAGTGGCGTAGTGTCTAAAGTATTTGACTGTTAACCAGAATGCTGGCGGTTCAAATCCACCAGCCACTCCTCAGAAGGAAGACTGGGCAATCTACTTCTGCAGAGATACCACGTCAGAAACCCAAGGAGTGGTTGCTATGAGTCGAATCAACGGCAGTGAGTTTTTAGATTTCATATGTGAGAGAAAGCTGGACGATGAATAAGGAAGACTGAAGAAGAATTGATACCTTTGAATTATGGTGTTAGTGAAGAATACTGAATATACCCTGGGCTGCCAGAAGAATGAACAAATCTGTCTTGGAAGAAGTACAGCCAGAGTGTTCCTTGGACACTTCATCTCATTTACTTTGGACATGTTATTAGGAGGGACTGGTCCCTGGAGAAGGATATCATGCTTGGTAAAGCAGAGGGTCAGCCAGAAAGGGGTAGACCCTCAACGAGGTGGACTGACACAGGGGCTGCAACAATGGACTCAGACACAGCAATGGTTGTGAGCATAGCACAGGACTGGGCAATGCTTCATTCTGTCGTATACAGTCACCGTGAGTCTGGACCGACTCAACAGTACCTGACAACAACGAAATGGGGCTAACGAGAGTCCCTCCCTTGTAGCAAGAGCAGGGAGAATACACAGGGCCTAGCACCCAGGAAGTGCTCAACCCACATCAGCCATAATCATCAACGGGGAACAGGAGCTGCCCCACAACTCATCATTCCAGGCCTGGGGAGGAGTCTCCAAGGGACAGGACAGAGGGACCCAGGGAACAGGTGCCCTCTTCATCAGCCCTGCCAGTTCCCAAGGCCTCCTCCTTGGTTTGGACTGGTCTGAGGTTACTTCAAAGTCATTGTCCCTCTGCACCCCCACATGGGGTCAACTGTGGGGGAGGAGTTGGCAAGAGTCCAAGGCAGGACTCCCAAATCATCTCGTAGAAGAGAAAGGGCCTGTGAGAACTGTCCAGGTTTGTGCAGGTGGGGAGACTGCAGAAAAGGGGAGCCACTGGCCCAAGGCCACACAGCCAGTTAGGGCTGGAGCCAGGACTGGAATCCAGGCCCTAGGGCCCTTCTTGCTACCCCAAAGCACATGGTTTAAAAGGGAAGGGGTCAGGGACGGCAAGGACGCCTCCTGGGGAGCCTCTGTCTTGGGGGACGGAGTCCATGAGTACAGGCTGCTTGGAAAGGACAGAAGGCAGAGACAGAATCCCTGGTGTCTGTGAGCAAACAAGACCAGCGGGCTCCAAGAACTGGAGCCCCCAAGATGGAGCAGGAAGCACGGCTTACGGGCAGTCCGAGGCCCCCAGGGAAAGATGGCTGTGTCACAGGGCTGGTCACGGGATGGAGGGAGGTAGTGGCTGCGGTTTCTCTTCCTGTGAAGAGATGTGAGCCCCTGGGGCCCCCCCAGTTCCGGTGGGAGGAAGAGGGGCAGGGCAGAAGTAGAGAAGGTGGGGAGGCTGCCTGACTCAGGGCCACACTCTGGTCCTGCAGGACCCTGTGGTGAAGCAGGAGTCCCCTACAACTGGGTCACTCACACCTGCCTGGCGGCCCTTGGCTCTTGCGCAAACTCCCCCATCCGCAGGCTGTGGGGCCCGTTGGGGCCTGACCAGGGCCAGAGATGGGAATAGCAGACCCAGACCATGGGAAAGGCCACGCCCTTCTGTCATCAACTCTCTGATGCAAGCAGCCCTGCACCACTATGAGGAGGTCTCCAAGCCAGCAACTGGATGTCCTGTGTTCAAGTCACGATTCTGCCACTTACTAACCATGTGACCTTGAGAAGTCACTTTGCTTCTCTGGCCCAGTGATCTGAAGGCAAAGAAAAGATGGGCTGAGATACTGGGGAGGGGAAAGGGCAGTGAGAAAAAGAGAATGCATCATGCTGCAAACCCAGCTCAGGGGCACCTCCTCTAGGAAGCCTTCCAGGAGCATCCAAGCTTGACTTGGCTGCTTGTCCTCTGAGTAGCCACAGTCTTCCACCTTCCACCCCTTGCTTCTGTCTGCTTAAAATGCATCCCTTTCATTTCAGTCTGTTTATGATAATAGTAACAGCAGCTAACACAGAGTGCTTCCTGCGTGTAACCTCTGATCTCCAGCTTCAATATATTAACTCATTTCATTCTCCCAGGACCCGATGAGGAAGGAACCATGACTATCGCCATGGTGTACTCATGAGGAGATAGGCACAGAGAGGCTAAATGATTCACCCAGGGTCACACAGCTAGGACACGGCCCAGCCAGAGTCTACACTGCACAGCCTGGCCCCAGAGCCCATGCTCATAACTGCCATGAGGTGCAATCAGGGTCCCCTGCATCCGGCTGCCCCTCTGAGCCCAGTACCAATCTCCTTGGCCAGTGCCAGGCCCTGTGGGTAGGTGATGGGCGCCAGCTTCTTCTCCTTCAGCTTTTCAATGGTGTCCTTGTCATCCCTCAGGTCCAGCTTGGTGCCCACCAGGATGATGGGGGTGCTGGGGCAGTGGTGCCGCACCTCGGGGTACCACTGGCCAGGGGACAGGGGCGCAAGGTTGTGCAGCAACAGAAGGGGCAGGAGGGCGAGTGGAGATGAAAGAGGCCACAGGGGCATATGGCGAGGAGAGGGACAGGAGGATGGGGGTCATGAGGTTGTGCGGGGAGGAGGGGGACACGTGGTTGCAGGGAAAGAGGAGGTACGATGGTGACAGATAAGAGGCAAAGCACGAGGGTGGGTGCAGATAAGAGATGGGCACAAGGTTGTATGAGGGCAGGAGAGCGGCCGCGAAGTTGATCAGAGATGAGAGACAGTGTGGGATCATGCAGGAGGACAGGGGACAGACACATGGTTATGGAGGGCAGAGGACAAAGCTAACTATCCCAGGCCCCCTCCGCAAGCTCCCCACAGTGCTGGGTGACACTGGAGTTCCTCCCTGCCTGCACACTCCACTGCCCAGAGGCAGTCCCTACGTCCCTCGGGGTCCCCTGCCTCCACGCCCACCCCAACCCCTGTCTCCAATGCCCCTGCTCTGCCCAGCTCACCTTGGCACAAACATCCTCATAGGCTGGGTCGAGAGTCTCTACCTCCCTCAGGGTCCCCTTGCCCCCACCCCTACCTCTGTCTCCAATGCCTCCACTCTGCCCAGCTCACCTTGGTTCAGACATCCTCATAGGAGGCTGGGATGACCAGTCCCTACCTCCCTCAGGGTCCCCTTGCCCCCACCTCCACCCATTTCCAATGCCCCCACTCTGCCCAGCTCACCTTGGCACGGACATTCTCATAGGAGGCTGGGCTGACGAGGGAGAAGCAGATGAGGAACACGTCCTGGGGACAGAGAGGGCAGAGGGTGCCGTGAGAGGAGGCGTCCCGCGTGAGCCCCTCTCCCCACTGGGCAGCCCCTTTGGGGCAGAGCAGCTCAAGGGGATGGTGGGGGTGTGGGTCTGCACAGACCAGAGGTGCGTTCTCCACCTCTGGTGCCCAGCTGCTGTAACCTAGCACTGTCTACAGGCCAGGCCCTGGTCTGAGTGCCTAATCCTCAGATGGGTATTCTCTGTGGGTATTCTACAGACAGCAAGTGAGGCTTGCAAAGACCAAAGGATTGGCGAGGTATGCTCTAGTAAGGGGAGGAGCCGGGGCTCCAGAATTCATACTCCTATGCCCCCCTCCATCTGGTTACTGGCCCCAGCCCTCCCCCGGCCCACCCTTCAGGGAAAACCAAGGGCCCTGAGGTCCATCAGCGACAAAGCCACCTGCAGGCATACCCCCCACCACCAGCTTATCTCCCTTCCCCCGGTACTCCCCCAGACATCGCTGGCCTAGGCTCTATGGGGCCCTGTCCAGGGTCTGCCTGCCCCACCCTCTGTGAGCCAGGTGGGGTCAAAGCCCAAGAGACAGAGCTGAGCAGACTGGCAGATGCTAACAGGAGGCAGGGGGCGCGGGGCTTCCCAGAGGAGCCGGCACTGGCGCTGGGCCTCCAGGGGAGAGTCAGAGCTCACCAGCTGAGCCGGCCTGCAGGGCAGCCCCAGCAGAGGGAGCAGGGAGAGCGAGCAAAGGCAGGACGGCGGGGAGAGGTGGACCAGCATACCGTCTGGGGGTAGGAGAGTGGCCGGAGGCGGTCGTAGTCCTCCTGCCCGGCGGTATCCCACAGCCCCAGGTTCACGGGCTTGCTATCCACCATCACGTTGGCTGAATAGTTGTCAAACCTATGAGGAGCCAGCAAAACAGAAGGTGGGATCAGTCTCAGACTCCACAGCCCAGGGACTTCTGGTTCAGTCCCGTGATGCTGGGTGGCAGAGGCTGAGCCCAGAGAGGGGCAGCCACTGGACCAAAGTCACACAGCACTATGGCACTGGGTTTTCTGTCACTTTGTCCTGACTGATTCATGGCATAAAACTTTTAAAAATTTAAAATTTATTTAAAATTTAAAAGGCAAGTAAGTATAAAGAAGAAAACATTACCTCTGGGTTATTTTTCCACCCTGAACTATTCTTTGGGATGGTAATTTTTCAAAGCTGTGCAGCGCTCCTTTTGGGGCAAGATCAGAATAAACTTGATTCATCTCCAATGTGGACACTTAGGCTGGTTGCCTAGACTGTGTTGAGTAAGTGTTTACCCTGTCTTGAGTTGGGCTCCCAAAAGAGTAAACCCTGAGACATGGAGGGGGTACAAGTGGTTTATTTGGAAGACAATCTCAGGGGAGTGGGGAAGACAAAAAAAAATGGCTATTGGGTCAACACTGACTCATGGCAACCCCACGTGGGTCAGAGTAAAACTGTGTTTTATAGAGTTTTTAAGGCATGATTTTTCAGTAGACTGTCAGGCCTGTCTTCTGTGGTGACTGGGGACTTGAACTCCCAGCCGTTCAGTTAGCAGCCAGATGCATCAAACCATTGTGTCACGCAGAGACTCCACAGCCAATATTGGGTGTGTTATTGATCTGTCACTGCTGTGGGCAACTGGAGCTCAGTCCTGCTGGGAGCGCTTGGAAGACAGCATGGACAAGTCTTAGGGTTTCCCCACAGGGGCAAGGAAGCTGGGGCATTTGTCCCCCATCTGCCATCTCTCATTAGCAGAGGGCTGCTCCTGGGCGTTAGCTCCCTGGCCTTCCAGCAAGCCCCAGAGTGCAGGCTGACAGCCCTCAGTCACAGGCACTTTCTGGAAGCTGCCACGGGCACATGCTGGAAAGATGACTACAAAGGGGAACAAAGGGCTGTGACCATTTGGAAGCAAATCACCTGACTTTTCTTCCAAAGAGACTTTGGGGAGGGGTTGAACCCTTAACTTTCTGGTTGGCAGTCAAGTATTTAACTATTTGTGCCATCCAGGAACGCTGGGGGCCCCATAGCAAATGCTACAATCTCTCTACCAACACTGGAGAGGCATCGAGGGCAAACATGAGTTTTCGACTCATACGATAGCAAAGAGACAGAAACAACCTAAGTGCCCATCAACAGATGAATGGATAACGAAACTATGGTCCATACACACAGTGGAATACCATGCAACATTATATATGAAGAATCAGCCAATCACCTCATCATGAGGATGAACTTGGAGGACATTATGCTGATTGAAATAAGTCAATCACAGAAGGAGAAATATTGTATGAATCCATTAATGTAAAAAGTCAAGGAAAGGTTTATGCAGGGAAGGAAATATTCTTTGTTGGTTACCAGGAGGGAAACAGATGGATAATTAAAAGACAGGTTTGATATGGGTGAAGGGATTTAAAAAAGAAAGAAAGAAGATTAGCCATTGTTTTTTGAAGCTAGATTATGGGCACATCGGGGTTCATTGTACTAGTCTTTGGTTTCTGTTTGAAATATTTTATAAAAAAAATTCAACTCTGTGAGCATTTATTGGGCACCTAGTGTTTGCCAGGCCCAGTGCCAGGGGCTGGGGCTACGAGGAGCACAAGGCTGATCCATTCCCTCAGCCGTCTGTCTGGAAGGCTGGACACTGGACAAGTCACAAGGATCCACATGAATGTCAGAGGAGGGGACTCTAAGGCTTCTGGGAGGCACAAACCCAGGCTCCAAGCTCAACAAGGAACTTTAGGAAATAATCTCTCTCTACACACATCCCTGAGAGGAAGGAACTAGCTCCTTAAACTTCAGAAGAGAGAACTGGGCTCAGAGAGATACACTGACTTGCCCAAGGCCACGCAACCAGTAAGTGACTAAACTGGATAAGAAGCCAGCTCCATCAGACTCCACATCCCTCCAAGGATACCCCTCTCCCCCTGAGGGTTAGAGACCACCCTCTCCCTCTCTCCACATTTGACTTTGTCTAGAAAACAGGCCTTTGGGACAAGCTTAGGATGTTGGAACACTCTCTCCTGTAATGTCCAGACTGAATTCCAGTACCAGAAAACCTCCTAAGATTCCTTGAGTCAAAGGTGTCTGTCTCCTCTGGGCTGTCCTCAGGGCCTCAGGGTCCATGCAGTGGGGGAGAGCTGGCATTCTGACACCTGTAATGGCACCAAGCACCTACCCTGGTGCCAGGCAGAGAGTCTTTGTACATCAGGCCTTGAAATGTCATGGAACCCTGGACAAAAGGACCTTTTGTGGGTTGAATAGTGTTTCCCCCAAAATATGTTGAAGTTCTAACCCCCAATACTTTCAAATGTAACTTTGTTTGGAAATAAGGTCCTGGCAGATGTAATCAAGTTAAAATAAGGTCATA